CTGGATGCTTATTAAAAGGCTGGCCATTGGCACCTACCCACGGACTCCGTGGAGTCACAAGTGATGTGTTTCCATGAGGGCTAGAGCCCAATGCCTGCGGAGCAGTCTGCTCTGTAGCACGGGGACACTGCGTGGGAGGTCTGCTCGGCTCATGGGCCCCAAACCACAGCCCCCGCTTGATTTGAACACAGGCAAATAAACACAGCTGCCCAGCAAAGCGGGGGTGGGGGGTGGGTGGAGCTTTTTTTTTTTTTAATTTCTTCCATTGAACAGATTTCAAACCTTTCCTCATCTTATGAAAATGATTCGGAGACATGATTTTTGAAAGCAGCTTTCTTTTGGTGTGGTGCCAAAGGTGAGCGTCCTCATGCTAACCAGAAGGCTGGCCGTGGCAGTGCACGTGGAGGTGCCGCAGAAGGAAGTCCTGGGGGTCTGCTTCTTAAGGAGAAGGCCCAGAAGGCTCTGCAGAGTCACATGGGCGATTGGGAGGCAGCTACTTAAAAAAAAATGCTGAGATGAATTCCACTTCCCAACAGTTCACTGGCTTTTAGAGTTCCAGAGCTATGCAGTCACTACAACCACTTTCAGAACATTTTGATTTCCCCAAAAGAAGAAACCCCGTGCCCCACTAATTGACACCCCTCCAGCCCTCCAAGCCCGGACAGTCACAAACCAATGGCTCTGTGGGTTTCCCACTCTGAAGAGTCACATCACTGGGAGCCTGTCATGTGTGGTGCGCAGAGACCGGCTTCCTTCATTCGTCCGACATGAACTATGATTCACAGAGATTTGGTGCAGTATTCCACAATATAGACATATGCGCATGAAGGGAACCACCTCCTATTTCTAGCTCTTGTGTCTAGTTTCTGGATGGCAGCGCTGCAGTGAGCATCCCTGATTATAGTCCCTGGGGGAGTAACACCCCAGTCCGGTTGCTGGACGAGGAGCCGGCCGCTTTAAGAGATTTGAAGAGCCTTTTGCCAAACGGCTCTCCTGGCATTGTGCAACAGAGCCCCCCATCAGCAAGGGGACCGAGTGCGAGGTTCCTCGTGTGTTCGCCAGTATGATGAATGATAGTTTCTAAAAGGCTCCACCAGTTTGACAGGAAGGACTAATGTCCCGTATTTTAATCTTCCACGGTCAGGTGGGGGCGGGACGGTGGTCATGTCCCTTTCTGCTCCCTTCCAAGAGCCCCTCTTCCTTCTCATCACTCCTTTTGCCTCATGGGTGCCCTCCATCCAAACTGGTCCTAGGATTTGCTAACAGTTGGAGAGGATTCTTCTGGGAAGAGCCAGAAGATGCTGCCCTGCAGGGTGCTTTCCAGCAGGCCCCGCCAGCAGGCTGGATTGGTTCATCCCAGCAGGTGGGCCATCCCCTGAGGCTGTTTCCCATCGTCCTTTGTCTCATTGCCACGCAGGCCAGACTGAGAGGCTCAAGCGGCTTCCTAGAGGGAAGCGTGATTTGCCAAGGAGTGTCCTGCACACAGGGTGAGGAAGCAAGTGGGTATAGACTGGCTGCAGTAGCATCATAGGGTTGATGTCACCCAGTGCGGTCACACATGGTACCCCCACCCCCGATACACGCGTGCACGCGTACACACACACACCGTGGCCCTCCTCCCACACCAGGCCATTTAGAATCCTTAGTGGTACTTAGTATCAATTGTAATGATAGAATAATAACACGGTGAGTTTCATAAAAGGATTTACTGCTAGGCCCCAGTTCATATAAGCACAGGTCTGTTCCGCACAACTTGGAAGAAAGATGAGACTTCCATAAAGCGATTGTTGGGAACCCACAGGGGCAGTGCCACCCTGTCCTATAGGGTCGCTGTGAGCTGGAATCAACTCGGGGGCAGGAGTTTGGTTTGGGGGTTATGCCACACAACATGTGTTTGAACGTGGCCCTGTGACCGGGCGATGGTTGCAGACAAGCCGGTGACCTTCCAACTGAGTTGCCAATCAGACAGTAGCTTCCAAGCCTATCTGCCTGGCCAGCTGAACTCAAGGCAGAGGGGTCGGCTTGGGAGGTGATGCAACAAGTGTTCTTTGGGCGTCCAAAGAGGTCCTCTGGATAGATTTTCTCAAAGGACACAAGAAAATCACCGGGGCTTATTAGAAAGCTGTTTCCAGATAATTGGAAGGTGCCTGGTCAGAGAAACGCCAGGAAAGATGTGGTAAGGACTTTTCCCCACCATGACAGTGCACCTGCTCACTCTTGGAGGGTAGCAACTTCCTCCCAGACCAGTCCCCATCCACTTTACAGCCCCGTTCTTACCCCTTCAGCCTTTTTGTTTTGCAACTCAAAGAACAGGGAGGAGGAGCCATACAGGGATGATTGGACCCCTTAGGACACTCAGGCAGATGGTGCAAATTGAAGAGCTCGGAATTCCTTGAGGGAAAGGCCGGTGGTGTCAGCGGTTCGGACTCCTCACGGCCGGCCCTGCGCGTCTCCGAAGCAAACACTGCGTCCTGCCACCCTCACCCCCTGTCACACTTGAGCCCGTTGTTGCAGCCGTTGTGCCAGGCCATCGCCTCGATGGCCGTCCTCTTTCCCACTGACCTGCAGACCGTGTTGAGAAACAATGGCTTCGCACGTTGACACTGCTGTTTGATAAAGGGCTCTACAACTCTGTAGCAGTCCTTGGTGATTGACCCATGTCGGTGATGTAGCTGTAAGTTGCTTCAATGTAATCCTTCTTAGAGTGACCATATGACTGCTTTTCTTTTCTTCCTCGCTGTCATTGGGCTGACTGCCTCGCAGGGTTGCTATGCGTCCGGTTATATGAATATTAATACGCAGCGACGTGGGACCAGGCGTGTTTCCTTCTGTTACACGCGGGGTCGCTGTGTGTCATGACAGCACCTCACGACAGCAGCACAATTGCTTTGTAAGATCTTTCTCCATTGAATTCGGACATCGTGAGTTCCCTCAGTCCTTGATGCGCAGTCACAAATACGAATTACCCCAGCGCTGGAGCTAAGGGGCCGAGCTGGTGACTATGAAGACACTGGCACCGGGCACGCGAGGGGAGGGGGACGGGGAGTCACGCCAGGGGTGGCGAGGAGGAAGAACAGTTTCCAGAGTGGGTTGTGGGGATGGTAGCGCAGCCTCTCTGCGTAGGCTTGAGCGGCTCAGTGGGACGTTATATTAATGACAACGCAAGGAAGCGATTTATGTAAAACAAACAAACGATGAAAGGAGTGAAATATTGCTTTCTCCTGGAACACAGAACAGACCGCTTGAAAGATAAGGCATAGCTAACGATTGGTCTCTCTGTGCCCAGGCAGGGTAGGAAATCCGGACACAGGGAAATAATTAGCACGAAGAACGATGGGCCCGGGGAGCGCAGCCTCCATGACCCCCAGACTGAACCCGGAGAACGCAGCCTCCATGACCCCCGGACTGAACTGGACGGTGCCCGGCAACCACGACCAGCCGCTTGGAGAGGGGCTGTTAGAGAAGATCCTTGACAGAGTAGAAGAAAGTGTAGGACAAATCTACAACTCGTAGTAAAGGAAGACCAGGCTCGTAGTCAGATCGAGATGGGTGGTACCCTGAAACTATGACCCTCAGTCCCCCTTCAAGCCTGGAATGGAGCTCACTCCCAGGAAGCCTGTAAGGGGAGCACACCCCACTCAGAACAATCAGCCATAGGCGAGCCAAATGGCCAGCGAGGACAAAGGCAGGAAGGCTGGGGAAGGACAAATGGGAACAGGACACCCGCCCAGGGAGGGCTGGGCTAAGTGCTCTCTTGACGTTGGGTCTGGACGTCAGAAGTATTCGGTGATTGTTAGTAGTGTTCTGTTCACACCAGTAGTCAGGCTTTGTTTGCATAGTACAAGTGAGCTCACCAGACAAGAGAGTTAACGGAGCAGCTGATCCAGCCCCGAACCCACAGGTCCCCCCAGACCCCGAGAAATGCAGTCAATGAATAGGGTCCTCCCCAGTGTCCCTTTTCCAAGGTACTGTCAACTCTAGTCTCTGTTCCAGAGGCGATAATCTCCGTCTGGAGGGAGGTCCCTGTGATGCTAATGGCCAAGGTGGAATGGGATGAATTCAGAGTCTTACTCCAGTGCGGACCAAGTCACCAGCTCTTGTTTCCTTGGGGTCTGGCCGTCTGAAAGGAAAAACAAACCACCTCCACGCAAGAGAGCCACTCGGAAGCAGGGGGAGGACACTAGCAGGGGCTAGAAGCCCACGTGTACTCCAGCAGAGGAGCAGCTCAGAGTGGCAGGGGGCTCCCTGGCCCATGGAGACCAGAGGTCCAGGGTCCACATCGCTAGAGAGGGATGGCTGCCCTGAGGAGAGGTGCTGGTGTCCTGGACAG